AAGATGCAGGAAGCAAGACCTGCCCTTTTGTAGAGTCTAAATATGAGTGAAAATGAAACTCCAAAGTCTTAATTTAACCTGCTTGTCATTTGTCTCTAATCCTCTGAGGAGAGGGAAAAAGGAATACAGGCTTGAAAACCAGTCGTCATTGTTTCCAGGATAAGACGTGTACAGGCATAATGTACCTTCTTTGCATACATGTACACATATGCACACACTCACATGTATGCACCAGTGCACAAATGCCTACCCTATGTTTTGAGACACTCACCCACTACTGTGCACTCTTGGTAAAACAATTCTTTCCACCTAGGGGCTCATTGGGTGCCCGTATCTTTGCAAAGTGCCCTCATGTAGAAGACATGTGCCTCAGTCACTGTGGCCTGAGCCCATCCTTAGGCAAATAGCTACCATCTTGGAGGTTTCCTCCTGCCAGGAAAAGAATTCTGGAACCCTTCCTGGGCCTTGTTCATGAAGATGCTGGGAGACTGAGAGGACAATGGACCTTGTGTTCACACACACACACACACACACACACACACACACACACACACACTGACAGTTCTCATCTTAAAGGGAATAAGAGATGGTTTATTCTGGAGCCATTCTGAAGTTACCCCAAACTCCATGTTCCAGCATGAAAGTCGCGTTGTGAAGTTTTACAGAACAGAGAAAGTCATAAACCAAGGTAACTCTCAGACACATTGGTGGGTGCATCAGAGAGGCAGGTGCAGCGAGATGGGGGAGGCTTTTCTATAAGCACAAGATGCTATCTGATGGCGTTCTTAGATTTGGGCTGGTGGAAGCTCGTGGTCTGTTAATACATGTCTAAAAGGTTTTATCTGTTAGTCACAGGATGTTAGTTCAAGCACAGAGGTGGGCAAGGAATGGCTGTTCCAGAGGGCTGGAACTAGCCCAAGATAAGGTAACTAGCCTTTGGACCCTCAACACTCCAGTCTCTCCACAATACTGAAACCCTAATCAGTCTCTGTAGATACAGTTTCATTTTAGGAATCTGAGTTTGAGGCCAGCCTGGTCTACTGAACAAATTCCAGGACTGCCAAGAAGGGCTACATAGAGAAACCCTGTAACAAACACAAGGGGGAGGTGGAGACGAGGGAGGGATGGAAGGAAGGAGGGAGGGAGGGAAGGTAGAAAGGAGGGAGGGAGGGACGAAGGGAGGGAAGGAGGGAGGGAAGTAGAGGTTGTATGTCATTGTCTTCCTGGTCCAGAGGAAAGTTTGAGGATCAACAGGTTCAATTTCCTGGATTTTTTTTTCCAAGATGGGGTTTCTCTGTGTAACCCTGGCTGTCCTGGAACTTGCTCCACAGACCAAGATGGCCTCAAACGCAAAAGATCCACCTGCCTCTGCCTCCTGGGTGCTGGGATTGAAGGTGTATGTCACCACTGCCCGGCCAATTTTCTGGATTTTTAATAATTTTTTAAAAGTGAGCAAATAAAGTTACAGGGCTGTGTGACTGGTTAAACTAGCCCTCGCTGAATCAGCATAATCTTTGCCGCATGTGGTTAGCCACAAATATGACGGGCCTACTTAGTTAACACCAGAGTTAGACCATTAAGCCGCAACAACTGCCAAGCTGAGAAAAGCTGCCCAGCAAAGAGGATGTGAAAGCTACCTTGGTATAAAGATGCCAGTTTACCTGCAATTTATGCTCGTCCTTGCGTGTGCTGAGTTATACATTGGTAACCAATGCAGTGCATTAGTGACGTGGTGGATTATCCGTGGGTTACTGGCTCATCTTGCACAGTTTGTTTTGTGTTTGAAACACAAACACCTGTATCCTAGGCTGACTCCAAACTCACTGTGCAGCCTAGGAGGGTCTGGCACTTCTCTGATCCTCCCGCCTCCCCTCCCAAGTGCCACACTTATGGACATGTGCCCCCATCTCCTGTGCTTGTGGTGCTGGGGACCAACCAAACCCAGGGAATCGTGCAGGCTACGAGAGGTCACCTCCCTACCCAGCCCCATCTCACACAGTCTCTGTGGGTCTAGAATTCAGATACCTCTGTGTGTAAGTCTGAGGAGTTCTGGCCCCAGTCTCACGGGGTTAAAATCAGCCTCAGTTTTCAGAAGGGCTGTGGAGGAGGAGGAGGACCAACTTTTAAGATGGCCCACCCACACAGCTGGCAAGCCGGGCTTCCCCATCAGACCTCTGTATAGTGTTTAGATGGCCTTGCACCACAGAGATGGTTGCCCTGAAGTGAGTTGAGGGGCTTGGGAGAGCAGATGGGAGCTGGGATACCTCTCCATGACCTCATGCCAGAAGGTGCACTTCCAAGACACTCCTGATTAGAAGTGTGATTCTTATGTCTGGTTCCGCTGAAGGGGAAGGATAAGTGGATTCTTCCTCCTGAAGATGGTGAAGAACCTGTAGACATCTGCAAGCCACCATCAATGAAGTTACAGAGCTGCAACCCTGGGGTAAAGCAAAGCTTACAAAAATCCATGAAGTGAATATGAGTCCAACTCTTAAGGTTTTCACTCTTTTTGTTTGTTTGTTTGTTTTTGTTTTGTTTTTTTGTTTGTTTGGTTTTGGGTTTTTACGAGACAGGGTTTCTCTGTATTGTTTTGGAGGCTGTCAGACCAGCCCGGCCTCGAACTCACAGAGATCCGCCTGCCTCTGCCTCCCGAGTGCTGGGATTAAAGGCGTGCACCACCACCACCAGGTAAGGTTTTCACTTTTAAAGCCCAGGGTGAAGAAAGCCTCATTCCCATGAAAGACAATGAAGAGATATATCAGTAGGAAGATGTCAGGTGTAGTGGGGCAGGCCTCTAATCCAGCACTCGGGGTGGGGACAGAGGCAGGCAGATCTGTGTGAGTTCAAGGCCAGCCTGGTCTACATGGCGAATTCCAGACTTTGCGGGAGTCAATCCTCTCCTACTGTGTGAGTTCCAGAAATTACCATGTGAATTCCAGAAATTGAATTAAGGTCAATAAGTCTTGGCATCTCATGGCAGGGGTCAACTAACAGATTCTAATGAAGACAAATTTCTTTGGAACTCCAACTACCCCCCACAATGTTCCTCTCTGATGTTGCCTAAGAATCAGTTTCCCTACCTGAAAAGTGGGCTAATGGCAGTATTCACTCCGAAGACCATACATTTGAATTTCCTGGGCTAAGTAAATAGGTACCGTGTAAATTCAAGTGCTTGCTGAGATCAAACAGATGCCCCCGTCCTGCTTACAAGGCATGTCATCCTGTGGTTTCTCACTTTTGGTGTAAATGACATACATGGGTGGCTTAGCTTCTAGCTGTCACCAAGCCATACTCCAAAGCAGAACTGAAAATGAAAATTCACCCAAAAACTGGATGTATGCATTAATAACCAAATAGATACTGGAAAAGAAAGGTAACCGTGGAGTAGCCACCTGCATTTCAGCTCCCAGTGAGTTGAAAATTCAAGAATGAGTGAAAAAAACATTTCAACAAAGACAAAGAATTAACCATTATAGACGTCCCACTCAAACAACTATTTGAGTTAAAGGGAAAATTAAAAAAAAAAACCAACATCACATTGGAAGATAAAGTGGTGGAAAATATAGAAAAGAAGCAGGCATGGTGACCCACACCTGTAATCCCAGCACTCTGAAAGGCCAAGACAGGAGGATTGCATGAACGCAGGGCCGGCTGAACTACACTAACAACAACAGGAAAACAGATATGGCAGGGAGATGAAGGACAAGGTTGGCAAGACTGCATACACACGGGTATCAGGAAAGGAAGATACGTCATTGAGGAACAGCAAAGACAGAAGTCATCACGGCTGCAAACATCCAGGACCAAGGGAAGGAGTGTGTTCTCAGATGAAGTATTGTAAATCCCCCAAGAGAATTGTGTGACATCTCCAAACATCAAAAGTAAGTAAAATACACTAAAGGCATCCAGATTCCTGAAGTGGTGGCTCAGGCCTATAATCCCAGTGCTCAGTAGGGTAGAACAGCATGATTGTCATGTTCAAGACCAACCAGGCCAATATAGCAAGACACTGTCTCAAAAGCAAAAGAAAAACAATGTTATCCAGAGAGGATTAGCTGTTAAGTTAGTAACTCCTAGACTAGTAGCAGACCCTCTCAAACAGTCCAATAAGAGGAATGAATATATCCACTTGCAATTCAGGTCCTAGTTAATTAAAAATTCAAGAATGAGTGAAAAGAGCATTTTCAGCAGAGACAAAGAATTAACACATTACAGATGTCCAACTCAAACAACTGTTTGAACTAGCACTTAAAAAAGGAAAAATCACAAGGAAGTACTCAAAACATTGCATGGGGAAATAGTGCTGGAAAAATACAGAAAAGAAGGGGGAACAGTGGGCGTGGAAGAGCATCCACCGGCATTTCAGGTCCTAGTGAGCTAAAAATTTAGGAATGGCGCATGCCTTTAATCCCAGCACACAGGAGGCAGAGGCAGGCAGATCTCTGTGAGTTCAAGGCCACCCTGGTCTACAGAATGAGTTGTTACACAGAGAAATTCTGTCTCAAAAAAACAAAGACAAGAACAACAATAAATCAAAAACAAAAAGCTTAGGAATGAGTTGTCAAGTCCATGATTTCTTCCGTACCTTCATCTCTGTACTAACTTTTCAGAGAGAAAAAAAACTAATCTGCTTAGGAGAGTGTTCTTTATTCATGACAGCAGAGTACTCTGTAGAGAGCCAGCTTTGTTATGACACTTCCTGATCAATCCACTTGCAAGAGACACTGGGGCTTTATCTGTGTTAAATGAAAAGATACATTCCTAATAGCTCAAGCCTAGAGCCAAATAGTTCTTCAAATATAGGAAGACATTGACCTATGTCTCCATCTCTCTCTCTCTCTCTCTCTCTCTCTCTCTCTCTCTCTCTCTCTCTCTCTCTCTCTCTCTCCCTCCCTCCCTCTCTCCTCTCTCTCTCTCCTCCCCCTTTGTTTAATAATGTGAAGTACTCTGATGTCACAATAAGACTACCTGAGCTGCTGAGTCAAGTCAATAAACAACAACTGATCTCTTTCAATAACAACAAGCATCCCCAGGGGTGAGTCTTCCCAGCCATGGCTTATGGCTTATGAATGGTTCTTAGTGCATCCTTTTCAGTCTAGATGAATTCCAATAGGTTCCGAAGCAGCAAGAAATTTCCAGCCTCCTTTGGAGTCAAACAGTGGTTGGAGGTGACATAACCAGCCTGGTGTACCCTACCTAGCTGGAGTACCAGGGGACAGGTGGACTCAAACTGAGAGGAGGGCTAACAAACTCAAACAAATTAACACAAGTAATTTAAAAACAGCCTTACTTTGTAATTTAGCTACTTTGGATACATGTTTTATTTGGTAGACTCATTTCTCTTTAAGTGCTTCCAAAATTGAAGTAAATGAGACATACATGCATGCACGCACACACACACACACACACACACACACACACACACACACACACACACATATATATGCAGGGTCCTCCCTGCAGGTAGAGGGGGGGGGAAGGACCTGTCCAGCTGGCCTCTTCCAGGGGGCTGAGCAGGATGGTGAGTGTCGATGACTCAGACCCTCCCCCCATTAGTTACCAGGGAGAAAAAACCACACTGAGTCGGGAGTCTGTCGAAGCAGGATCTCGATTTATTCCAACACGCAGGAACTTATATAGAACTGAAGTAGGGGATGGGAATCTTGGGATAGGGTAAGGTGATGTGAGGCGTTAAGGGCCAATAGTATTCCACCAAGCAGGCAGGTAGCTAGGCAGGGGGCAATCTTGCATCAGATCTGGCTAAGTCACCCCCGCATGGAGGTTACAGGTTAGAGACAGGTCTCTAAACTCTAGGCAAGCTCAGGAGGTTACACTGGGCCTCACATCCGAGCCCAAAACTCAAGTCAGGCTCAGGAGCTTACACTGGGCCTTGCATCCAAGCCTTTCTTAGGCCCAACATATATATATGATTTTCTCTAAAAACAAACTTTTCTGTCTCTAGGGAATACTTTCACATTTGACATAGGTTGAACTTTTGTTCTTGGGACATTGGGACAGTCTTTGTGCGCTGGGCCATAGGTAATATTTGGCTCAGGAAGCCAGACATGGTGGACTTATCTATACTCCCACTTGTGTAGGATGCTGATTGGTAAGTTTAGGTTATGCCTGGGCTAAGAAACAAGGCCAGCCTGGGAAAGTCATTGAGAGCCTGTCTCAAAAAAAAAATGTGAAGAGTTGGAGATTAAGGAGATGACTCTGAGTTTGGATCCCTGGCAACTATGTACATGCCCATAATCCTAGCTCTGAGAAGAAAGAGACAGGAGGGAGCCTGAGGCTCTCTGGCCAGCTAGTCTTGGTGCATATTATGTGAAAAGTCAAAAAATAAGGTAGGGAGCAATAGAGGAAGATAACTGTATACACATATGTGAGCAAACATGCACGCACACACACACACACATACACAACTTATAATGTGATGTTCTTGGAACATGGACAGGGAACTAAGAGCTGATATAATTGGGATTTTAAAAAACACAGCTAATAATAGCAAAGTCTGCCCACATTCTTTTGGCCTCTGGGTTGTCTTCCCTTTGAAAGATTGAGACAGACTGCTCAAAACTTTAGTCCCGTTCAGGGAATCTTTACCTGGCTGTGACCACTCAGGGAAGAAATGGATAAAGGAAAAGAAGAGGAAAAGGCAGAGAAGACAGAGGACATGAGAAAGAGCTGAGAGTTCTAGGGAGTTGTCCACAAAAAGAGGCCAGAGGACAAGGGAAACTGAGTACATGAGAAAAAAATGCTAGAGGTTTATTAAAAGTCAGATCTCTTGGAGCTAGGGAGGTGACTCATTCAGTAAAGTGCCTGCCTTATAAGCATGAGGACCTGAGTTCAATCCTCAGGACCAATAGAGAGAGTTAGGGAGGGAGGGAGGGGAGGGAGGGAGGGAGGGAGGGAGAGAGGAGGAGAGAGAAAAAGAGAAAGAAGGAAAAAGGAAAAAGATGAAGAAAGAAGGAAGGAAGGAAGGAAGGAAGGAAGGAAGGAAGGAAGGAAGGAAGGAAGGAAGCAGGCCTGTCGGTGACTACTTGTAATGAGCACCGGGGTTTGTGAAACAAGATCTCTGGGCAGCCAGTCTAGTCAAATTGGTGAGCCACAATTCAATGGGAGATTCTGTCTCAAAACACGGCAGAGGGGCTGAAGAGATGGCTCAGTGGTTAAGAGCACTGTTTCTTTCAAAGCATCCTGTTTCAATTTCCAGTACCCACACAGTAGCTTACAAACATCTGTAACTCCAGTGTTAAGAGTGCGCTTTTCTGACTTCTGCGGGTACACATGTAGTACATGCATGTGGTATACATACATACATGCAGGCAATGCCTTCATGCACATAAAATGAAATGTAAAATATTTTTAAAAAGCAAAGCATCAATAACAACAACAGAAAAGGTGGACATCCCCTTAGCACCCGCCTGGTGTCTGTCTCACAGCTATCTGTGACTTAGCACCCGCCTGGTGTCTCACAGCTATCTGTGACTCCAGTTGCAGGGGATCTGATACCTTTACTAGCCTTTGTGGGCAGAAGGCATGCACATGCACACAGATATAAATGTGGGTAAAACACTCACACATATGAAATAAAATAAATAAATTATTGTTGTTGTTGTTGTTTGAGAGGCAGGATCTCTCTGCGTAACCCTGGCTGTCCTGGAAAAACCAGTACTAAATCTTCTTTTAAAATTATAAAAGTAGAGAATGTACACAACAAAGTCACATGTTCCCACAAGAAATTTATACGTATTTAGTCAAAATAAAATTAAAGTACATCAACAGAAATATCTAAGTTGTTATTGTGTTTCTATACATAGAACACATGACTGGGACATAGTCAATATTTGTGGAATGCTATTTTTTTTTCCAGAAAGGGTTTCTCTGTGCAGCTTCGGAACTTGTCCTGGAACTGGCTCTGTAGACCAGGCTGGCCTTGAACTCACAGAGATTTGCCTGCCTCTGGCTCCTGAGTGCTGAGATTAAAGGTGTGTGCCACCACTACCTGGCTCATGAAATGCTATTTTGAAAGTCTATTTTGCACTATCCTGATGTGTATGTGTCACTAAGGAATTAAACCTGGGATTCAGTGCATGCTAGGCAAGCACACTACTAATAGACTATTTCCCCAGCCCTAAGCTATGTTTTCAAAGTGCTATGCATGTAATTCAGTCTGTAGTGTACAGTTCTCACTTTGGTTTAGTCACTCGGGGATGCATTGTTGATCTGATTACAAAAAAGGGGTGATTTACTGTTTGCTGCTAACATAGCAATGAATACACAGCCTGGGGACAATTGTGTTTATGAGGAAAGGGTGGCGATGAGGGTGTAGCTCAGTACTATAGCATTTGTCTTGTATGTACAATGCCCTGCATTTGAGTCCTAGCGCCATGTGTGTGTGTGTGCATGTATGTGTGTGTGTTTGTGTGCATAGGCATATGTGTAAGAGGGATTAAAATATTAAAACAATAAAAGATCATTTTAATAAATATTAGTTTGAATTGTCTTTCCAAATGCATGGGAGAAATGCTTCATGTAAAAGCTGGGCGTGCATGGTAGCTCACATTTGTGATCTCAGCACTCCTTCATGTAAAAGCTGGGCGTGCATGGTAGCTCACATTTGTGATCTCAGCACTCAGTGAGCTGAGGCAGTAGCCTTGTTGTTATGTTTGAAAACTAACCCCAACTGCACGATGACTTTGTCTCAAGGGAAAAAAAACAAAAAGTAAAGGAAATAAACAAATAAAACTTATAGAGGGAAATAAGCACATATAACACTTTGTATAAATATAGATTCATCCATTCACTAAACATATAAGGGCCAGAGAGATGACTCAGTGGGTAAAGCTTGCTGCCAAACCTGGCCATCTGAGTTCGATCCCCAGGACCTACAATGGTAGAAGGAAGACCTGGGTTTGGCAAGTCATCCTCTGGCTTCTCCACGTGTGCCTTGCTGCCTTGCCATGTGTACATACACACACACACACACACACACACACACACACACACACACACACACACAATAATCAAATAAGTAAATTAAATAAAATTAAATCCTCAGTGTATCCAGTTTATGTCTGGCACCATGGATATAAAATGCGAGGCAGCATGAAGTGATGCTTAGGAGGGTCCCTTCTTTGCGATGGATTATTTAGCAATCCTTCATTATTTATGAAGCTAGTAAGTGACACCCAGCCTTCTGGAACACCATTCCTGCAACAGTTCACTCCTCTTTCATTTGTTGGCTCTGCAGCTTTTGACTCTGGGTCACCAAGCAGCCAACCTGGACTGCCAGGACAGACCTATGGAGGGATAACAACTAACGGTGAGTTGGTGGTGGGGGACCTGGCACGGTTTTGAGCTGTGTTTGCAGAATGGCTAGTGGGGACTCAGAATTCTGTTTTCTCACCTCACCCTTCTCTGTTTTCTTCCACCACTCTATGTATTTCTGCATTGCTTGCACACAGAGGAAGACTTCAGCCAGAAATTGCCAGACACTTAATCAAGTAAGTCTGATGTGGAACGGGGCAGAATGCAGCACTGTGTTGCTGTATTATTATTTTAGCTTGCAGCCAGCACAGAAAGTTTCCAGAAGGGCGCTCTTCTCTCTGTTTCATTTTTAAATACTTCTTCAAAAGACCTTCTGCTAAAATTAGTGATGGAGAAAATGAAGTGGGAAAGCCCAAACCAAACCTTAAGAGAAGAAACAGGGCTGGCATCTGAGGAAGAACAGCTTTGCAGGCAGACTCGCCTGCTGAGGAACTGAGGGAGATGCTTACCCAGGCAGGAAGAGTGGGGGCCTGCGCTGGTGGCTCCTGGTGCCTTTCTACAAAGTTGCCTTCTCGGTCTTGAGCACAGACCACCACTTCTTTGTAGAAACAGTGATGTTCAGCCTAGACTCTGGAATGTGGGAGAGAACCGCAGTCACACTCAGGTGTTAGCAAGCACGAAGCTAAAATCAGCTATTGCTCTTAGTGTTTCAGTTAAACGGGGTTAACGTACGGCAAGCAGGTGCGTATGTGCTTCTCCTGGGAAACCCTTCCAAGTCACTGCTGATTCACTGAGGGTGACATTTTATAGTCGAGCATTCGAAAACACCACCTAGTTGTTTATGTTTTAAAGTATTTAAGGTATGGGCTGGGTCTAATTCCATTGAGTAGAAAGTGTCTTTTGTGTGGCAGAGCCTCTCATCTGCTTGGGTGTTTTTACTTCTCGTTTCCTGTACATGTGTGGTGCGACGCTTGCTTTTTCTAGAACTCTCTCCCCATTACTGAAGCGGGGTGTTTACATAGATTTTTCTCAGGGGTTGTGGTTGCCTTTAGTCCACCTGGGAACGCTGATCCTGCCTGCTGAACACTGAGTGCAGAATGACACAGCTTCACCTGCTTTGTTTTGGAGACTATTGGAAAGTTCTTTTTGGGCTCTTTTCTTTGGTTTTGAAGAACCATAGTTTTGGTAGCCCATGATCCCCTGCTGATTTTATAATGGGCCCAAAGAAGGTGAACCATGGTGAAGCTCCAAGGACATAACATGAGTTATAGCTGTTGACTTAAATGCCTCTTTTTTTTTTTTTTTTTTGGGTTTTCGAGACAGGGTTTCTCTGTGGCTTTGGAGGCTGTCCTGGAACTCGCTCTGTTGACCAGGCTGGCCTCGAACTCACAGAGATCTGCCTGCCTCTGCCTCCCGAGTGCTGGGATTAAAGGTGTGCGCCACCAACGCCCGGCGACTTAAATGCCTCTTAATTGGCCATTATGTGTGGACGATTGTAGTCAATGTGCCACCCATGATAATGGCCTAACTCCAAACTCATCTCAGCCCATTGTGTATTTTCTTTTGGAGAAAGAAGCCAAGGAAAATATAACTAATGTTCAGTTTCTGCCCACTCTGTGCAAAGGGGAAACTTACCAAATAGGAAGAGGAAAAATAATATATGTGCACTGCTGGCCTCCAGCTCATCCGATTTTCCTTCATTATTGGAGGTTAATGAGCAGCTAAAAGTCCTAAGCCTACTGTTTTTGGGAACTTCGGTTATCTCATTATGTTGGACTTTTCCTAAGTGTTCTTATAAGCAAACATGTGTTGCGGGATATTTGATCACACTGTGTGAAGATGTCTCTGTTTTACCTCACCTGCCTAAGGCCCTTATAATTGGTTGAAAAAAGAACTGAGTGGCCAATAGCTAGTCAGGAGAGGACAGGTGGGACTTCTGTGCAGAGATAGAAAGTCTCCTGGGAGGAGGGGAGCATGGGGGATTAAGTTTGGGGAGCTAGTTAGGAGCAAGGCTAAGCTAAGGCCAAGCTTTCATGCCTAGTAAGTCTCCGTGTCATTGTTCAGGAGCTGGTGGTCTAAAGAAAATCCAGATGCAAGCATGTTTATACTTGGCCTAAATAAGGGAGATGTATATGAGCACTGCAGCAAGATGTTTCTTTTCTCTTTCTTTTTCTTTTTCCTTTTTTTTTTGTTTGCATTCCACAATTTCATAGGCCTCCCCTGGCTGAAGAGTCCAAAAACTGTAGATGCATTGTATAAAGAATATTTAGCTTTTATATTTATGTGTGTGTTATAGTGCACATATGTATATGGACACATGCATGCCAAGGCACATATGGAGAATTTGACTGTGGGTTCTAGGAATTGAACTCAGGTTTGTCAGCAAGCACCTTTACCCAGAGACATCTTGCAACCTGGAAAGTATTCATTGATGACAGATTCCGGGAATTTTTAGACCAAGGAGTCCATTGTCATCATAACGGTTTTTAGAATTTTTCAGAAGTAGTTTTTGGAGAAAAGTCTGTACTTGAATATTGTCTTGATTTTATCATATCCACATGAGGTCAAGCTGCTAGAAGTGAACGGGTAATCTAACTGGTCTTCCGATTTGTCCAGAAGGCTACTGTCATCGCTGTTATTGCAGTTCAGAAAAGAGAAGCCTGTAGATTTTGTTCCAAGTTGCTAGGTTTCTCAGCTAGCATTCTGTATATCAGATGCTAATACAGACCCAATCATATTCCCTCCTAGAGTACCTGCTAACTTTCCTTAAAACTGAGAGTTGGAACCAGGTGGTGGTGGCTCATGCCTTTAATCCTAGCACTTGGGAGGCAAAGGCAGGTGACATCTGTGAGTTTGAGGCCAGCCTGGTCTACAGAGTGAGTTCTGGGACAGCCAAGAAGTCAAGGCTACACAGAACACAGAGAAACCCTGCCAAAAAACTGAGGGGGTGGAGAGGGAGGGAGAGAGGAGCATGGCCTGCTTTCCCACCTACACTGACTCCAGCTCCAGGGGTATCCATCACCTCTGGCCTCTGTTGGTCCTTGCACTCAGGTGCACATGCCCCAAAACAGACATGAACAGGCGTGCGTGAGTGCGAGAGAGAGAGAGAGAGAGAGAGAGAGAGAGAGAGAGAGAGAGAGAGACAGAGACAGAGAGAGACAGAGAGAGGGAGGAGGGAGGGAGGAGGAGGGAGGGAGGGAGGGAGGGAGGGAGAGAGAGAGGAAGAGGGAGAGGGAGAGGGAGGGAGGGAGGGGGAGGGAGGAGGGAGAGAGAGACAGAGGGAGAGAGGGAGAGGGAGAGGGAGAGGGAGGGAGGGGAGGGAGGGAGGGAGGGAGGGAGGGAGGGAGAGAGAGAGACAGAGGGAGAGAGGGAGAGGGAGAGGGAGACGGAGATGGAGACGGAAACGGAGACGGAGAGGGAGGGAGAGAGAGAGAAAATGTATGTACATGGGCACAAGCATGCCATGGCACATGAGGGGAATTTGAATGTCTCAAAAAGAAAAATAAATAAGGACTGCTTGAATCTCTGGTTAAGAGCATTTGCTGTTCTTTCAAAGGACCCAAGTTCAGTTCCTAGTACTTACTTTGGGCAACACACAACTGCCTATAACCCTACCTCCAGGAGACCTGAGGTTCTCTTCTGGTCACGGTAACTTTCTCATGCCACCCCCCCCCAATAAATAGTGAAATTTGTCTGTAAACAGGTAAGATGAAACAACCACAAAAGACAGTGACTAGTCCGATAGCTGAAGGTACTTGCTGAGCAAGCCTGATGACTGAGTTTCATCCCAGAACCCATAGAAAGGTGGGAGGAGAGGTGTGACTTCAGAAAGTTGCTCACACCTTTAATCTCAGCACTGGGGAGGCAGAGGCAGGCGGATCTCTGTGAGTTAAGGCCAGCCTGGTCTACAAAGTGAGTTCCGGGACAGACTCCAACGCTACACCAAGAAACTCTGCCTTGAAAAACCAAAAAAAAAAAAAAAAAAAAAAAAAAAAGAAGAAAAGACAGTTGTTCTCTGACATCCGAATGTACACTTACTTTCTACGCCCTCCCTGTGTTTTACACACACACACACACACACACACACACACACACACACACACACACACGTCAAAATTTTGAACAGTGTCTCTGAGGGCTGGGAGACAGCCTAGTATTAGAGTGTTTGAGTGTTTGCCTAACATGCTGGGTTTAACCTAGGTGCCCTCCCCGAAAAATAAAGAAGCTTGGCACCCTAGCATTGACAGAAATTAGAAATGATACTGATTTATATTCCCAATATTAATGATGACTCCAGTGTTCTAATATAGCTGATGATTATTATTTTGTGAACAGTAAAGTTGAACTGAGCCAGTAGACTGTCTGTTGGGATGGAATCCATAACATGGGTAAGCATTTACAGGTGATTAGTTTTAAGTGCTGGGGATTGGAAGAGCGTGTCACATTAAACTTTTAGAGAACTATCAAGTGGTAAATTTCAACGCACTTTGGGGACAGAGGTTATTTTGCAGCTTTATGAAAGGGCATACCAAATGCTAAGAGTAAAAACTGATAGGTTCTCAATAGATAGTTTTCTCTGTGTAGCATTGGAGACTGTCCTGGGACTCGCTCCGTAGACCAGGCTGGCCTTGAACTCACAGAGATCTGCCTGCTTCCGCCTCCTGAGTGCTGGGATTAAAGGTGTGCTCTGCCACTGCCCAGCTCAATAAATAGTTTCAAAATGACTTAATCTCAGCTGGTGATTCAATACCTGTCTTAAACATTAGGATGAAATTGGTATTGTAAATGTAGTCATTGGTTCATCTACTAACATGCATGCATTAAACACCTTGGCCATTAATTCTAAGTCACCAATAATGCATCAGTGTCACATTAAAGAAAGAAGTAACACTTCCCCAAGGGGAAGAGTCATTTAACCGAGAGCAAGTTCAGATTTGGATTCTCTACTACCCGTTCCTCGTGTCTTCCCTCCTTCTAACAAAGGCCTCCTGCTCCTACTCATTGAACTGTGTGGAAAGCTTTGGGGAAAGAATGGCACACTTTACAGGAATCTTTAGCAGAGTTTTTACAAGGGATTAATTAAGTCAGTAACTCCAACTGACCCCACCTGAGCCAGTAAACAGTGTTATAAACATCATTGTTTATCAGCCAATACCTATAAATGGATATTCCTTTTAGAAGATTGCATTCAACCTCTGTATTTACAGCCCTCAGCCAATGATACACATGCATTGTTCTGGGTCAGGGCATGACTTAACAGCACAGCTATGTATGTATCAGCTTAGGTTGTGAAAGTTGATTATGTAGGAAGTCCAAGGCAAGTTAGGTTGGTTGTTACATTGTTCTAGCAGAGGAAGTCTAAACAGTCTGAGTACACAGTAGGGCAGCAGTTTGAAGTCTCAAGTGACTCCAAGACTCATTGTTTTGTTTTTTTTGTTTGCTTGTTTGTTTGTTTTTTCGAGACAAAGTTTCTCTGTGGCTTTGGAGCCTGTCCTGGAACTAGCTCTTGTAGACCAGGCTGGCCTCGAACTCACAGAGATCCGCCTGCCTCTGCCTCCCGAGTTCTGGGAATAAAGGCATTTGCCACCACTGCCCAGCCCAAGACTCGTCGTTAACTCTGGCTGGGAGGTTCAGAAAGAGTATCAGTCTCTAGAATGTAAAAGATATTTTTTATTTTAACTCATTGTCACGAAAATAAGCACCAAATTGCATGTTTATTCAGTTCATGTTATACTACAGCCTAGAAGACACTGATACGTGGAGTTGGGTAGAGGAACAATTTCATGACATATTGTAATCATGAGATAGGTATAATTAATTAAAGCTTGACTATAGTCTAGTTAATTCATTCAGTCTTAAGTATTACTTTATTCCCTAAAGGCAGAGAACTTAGTAAGTTAATGAGAGTATAATGATGTATCTCTTTAACTACCTTGCCATCACCATTGCCTTTCTTACTCTAATATTAAATACGGGACACACACACACACACACACACACACACACACACACACACACACACACACACACACAATATCCAGTAACTTCCTAGAGTCTGGGTCCCACTGTACCACTTTGAGCCTTTGTGTATACAGCAGGATAAACCGGTCACATAGTTTTCTTTTTTGCTCTTTGTTTTGATTTTTTTTTTTGTTTGTTTGTTCACCTATTGAGACAGGGCCTCACTATGTGGTTGGTTGAGGCTGGTTCTTTTTTTTTTTTTTTTTTTTTTTTTTTGGTTTTTACGAGACAGGGTTTCTCTGTATTGTTTTGGAGGCTGTCAGTCCAGACCAGCCTCGAACTCACAGAGATCCGCCTGTCTCTGCCTCCCGAGTGCTGGAATTAAAGGCGTGTGCCACCACCACCTGGCGAGGCTGGTTCTTAAAGTCTTATTTCTTCTGCTTATACCTCCTATGTGCTGGAATTATAGTTGGACACCACCAGATTGGGATTCTTTTTATCTTTGCATTTAATGAAATTCGTGGTAGTAATTATCACATGAAGACATGTGCAGAGCATGATGGTGGTCTATAACAATAATCTGATGAAAATAATTTGCACGAATAGACATTATAGTCCAGACCTTTTCTGTTTATTTTTATTTTGTTCTTTAGAGGGTAAAATAAATACACAAAACTTCATAATTTCCTGTATATTCTATTGGCTGGAATTTTTTATCTTTTGAAAAATAAAGACTAATTTTCAATCCAGGCTGGGCTTAGACAAAGATATATATATATATATATATATATGTGTATATATATATATATTTTTTTTTTTTTGGTTTTACGAGACAGGGTTTCTCTGTGTTGTTTTGGAAGCTGTCGGTCCAGCCCGGCCTCGAACTCCCAGTGATCTGCCTGCCTCTGCCTCCCGAGTGCTGGGATTAAAGGTGTGTGCCACTACTGCCTGACGACAAAGCTGTATTTTACTAGTAGTTGCTATTCTTCATCTATCAGAGAAAGGTCAGTATTATATTTGCTGATTTGTGATTGACAAACAGTTACCATGTTAAATGGGAAAACAGAACAAATGTTAGCTTCCTGTCTGTTGGCATAGAGAGACCCTGGCAGTATCTGGCTTTTCGTGAATTGACATGGCTCTGGATGTATTTTTTGTTCTGGCTTTAAAAACGAGTGAAGGAGTCAGGCAGTGGTGGCGCATGGCTTTAATCCCAGCACTCAGGAGACAGAGGCAGGCGGATCTCTGTGAGTTCGAGACCAGCCTGGTCTACTAGAGCTAGTTTCAGGACAGCCTCCAAAGACACAGAGAAACCCTGTCTCGAAGAAAAAAAACCCAAAAAACAAACAAACAAATAAACAAAAAACCAGTGAAGGTATAATGTAGATTTCTTTTTCATCATTGTTTTCCTGGTTCAGCCTCCAATGAACCAATCACACAAATGTAAGTGCATTGTGGTATTGTTCCCTTAATTTTTTCCTCTCTATATAAATACTTGGGGAATTAATTAAATAACTGACGTCAAGCCTAAAAAGGATATGGTCTTTTTCATGTCTCCTCAAATTCTACCATTCTTCTATTTTGAAATTTTGTCTGAGTTTGGTCAAGTTCTTTGATATAACCCTTCCTTTGTTTCCTGATTGTTTCCTGATATTTTTGAGAGTGGGAGAGATAGAGTCTTTCCCTGGCAGCCTACAATCTTCCTATTTCCTGAGTGCAAGGATTTGTCTGATGTTATTTCTTTGCACAGCTTGGCTGTGAAGGTTGTCCCTTCCAAGAAACAGTTGAATATCCTGTGCTGGAAACTTTGATTCTGATAGGATGCAAAGGAAACTTGTGGCTAATGGTTGTGTCTTACACCAGGGAGAGCACAGACCTGGAAAGTGTAGGTGGATCAGGACAGGGAAGAAGTGAATTCTTCTGATCATCTTTGGTGCTTGTCTTTGTGGCTAAGGTTACAGGCTTTGTCTAACCTTACAGCACGGATTTTTTTTTAAGATTTATTTATTTATTACATATACAGTGTTCTCCCTACATGGCAGAGGAGGGCACCAGATTGAATTGTAGATGGTTGTGAGCCATCATGTGGTTGCTGGGAATTGAACTCAGGACCTCTGGAAGAGCAGTCAGTGGTCTTAACCTCTGAGCCATCTCTCCAGCCCCAGCACGGATCTTTTATGTGCTGAAAGATACTATGAGTTCAAAGGTACTGTAACTTTTGTTTTATTAATTTGATTTTAATAGAGATTTGAATTGTACAGTTTGGGGGCGTGGGAGTTACTTTTGGTAGCTGACTTCTGGCTGGTACACAGTGCTTTCTATGTGAACAGCTATTAAAAGCAGAACCATGTCTCCGTTGAGGTAAACATTCATTCTATTTGCAGATGAGGAAAGTGAAGCTTAGAAAGAGGATCAGTAACCTCCCCAAGGCCACACAGCTAGTAAGTGACAGACTTAAGTCATTTATTTGATTTTATGGTTGTTATAAACTTAGAACAACGATCTCAAAAGGAATAGTAAGTTTGTGATTCTTCACAACTAATTCTTCTTTTTAGTTACTTGTTTCAGCTCGTATGGAAAACTGGGTTATAGTCCTGGTTTTGAGTGCCCAACTCGGTATCCTTAATGGTGCCCCTTAAATTCTTTGGGTCTCTAAATAGCCCATTGAATGAATAGGCTGGATCACATGATCACACCGTGGATTCAGTCTTTGAAGGTACATTGTTTATTCACCTTCTTAGTACTAGCTGAAGCAAATATACATTTCCTAGGAATGTATTAGTCACACTTAGTGTGTTGATTGCATGGGCTATAATTACAATCATTTGCTTCGTTTCTTGTGTACCAAGAAATCTACTGAGTGCTTTCCACAGATGAGTGCAGTAGCTCCTCACAACTTTATAAGGTGGATTTTAAAGCTCCTATTTAATAGTGGAGTCATCCAAGGTCAAGTATGCAAGGAGTGAAGCAAGCCAGAATGCCAGCAGCCTGTGCGTTGACAACAAAGCCCTCAAATGTTTAATGGAGCAGTAACGGAGTTGCAGTTTTTGCTTTTAGTGAGACACAATCTCAGAGTGAAGCCGAAGCTAACCTTTAACTAACCATTCCCCTTTGCCTCCCAGGTGCTGGGATTACAAGCAGAAGCCGAATGCCTTTTTTACTTGTTATGTAGGCCTAGGGATCACGGCCGCTGTTTTTAAAAGCAGTTTTTTTTTCTTTTCTCTATTTAGATACAGTATCGTTCTTCGATTTTACTGTTTACGTCCATTCCGCTTATAATTGATGAATGGGAGGAGATTACTATTTTCATGCCGAGTGATATTCCGAATCTAAACCAGCAGTCAACTGCCGCCAAACGACGCGGGCTTTGTGCCTCTGCGGCACCCCGCGGGTGTCCTTCCGCGACAGCCTGCCTTTCCGAGAATCCGTGTTCTTGCGCGAAAAAAAAAAAAAAAACTATATTTCCCAGAGGCGTCCGCGGCCGAGAGCGCGGGCTCGACCAACCCTTCCTTCCTTTACCCATCCCCCCCCACCGTCGCAGCGTGATGATGCAAACGCGTCGGGCGCCGAGGACTGACGGTGTTCTGGCTCGCGACCGCGGCGGCGGCCTCAACAGCGGTAATAGGCGCAGGAGCGGCGGCGGCGGCTGCGACGACTGCAGGGACGACGACGACGGCGGCGGCGGCGGCGGGGCGGGCGCAGCGCGCACAGGGGAGGGGTAGGCGGGCGGCGCCAGCGGCCGGGACTGCGGCAGCGACGGCCAGGGCGGCTGAAGAGGATCCTCTAGCAGCCGGCGGTCGAGCTAGGCCTCAGCGGCGCCCGGAGCTGCTCGCGCCGGCCTCGGCGGGAGATCTCCATAGAGACGGTGACAAACACAGACGCGGGGGTCCGCACGCGGCCGGCGGCCCGCAGCCAGCTCGGGGCCCTCAGCCGCCGCCACCGCCTTCCTCGCCGCCGGCGTGCGCGCACTCTCAGTTCCCGCTCGCTCCCTCGCGGTTCTCGCTGTGTCTGTGTGTCGCCTAGGGCCGGGCGGGGGAGGCCCTCAGGCCGCCGCCTCTGCCTCTCCCGCCCGGGAGCGGGAGTGGGAGGCCTCCCAGGCTCCACCATGGCCTCCGGAGCCGGAGGCATCGGAGGGGGCGGCGGCGGCGGCAAGATCCGGACGCGTCGTTGCCACCAGGGGCCGGTGAAGCCTTACCAGCAGGGGCGACCCCAGCACCAGGTACGGGGCCCGCACGGCGCGGCGGCTGGGCGGCTCCGGGTGGCCGCAGTGGGGGCGGTGCGAGGCCGCGGCTCCCCACGTGGGGAGCGGACCAGACGAGCCGAGGGCCTGAGGCAGGGCCGGGGTGGCGACGGGAAGTGGGCAGAGCCGGGCCGGGCCTGGCGGCGCACACGTGGGGTGCGAGCGGCCTCTCCCAGCTCTCCCGCCCAGGGGCTTTCCCCGGCGGGCGCTGGGCGGGAAAAGAAATTCCAGGCTTCGGATACTCGGGTTTCTTTTTTGGCGGGTTCTGGGGTTGGATGGTATTACTCACGACCTCGCGAGGGAACTAGGGAAAGAGATGTGGTAACAGGCCCATCCGCTCGCAGGCTTTATTTATTTATTTTCCTTTCTGGTGTTCCCGGGTTCTGGGTGCGTGGGGACGGTGGTTGCCGCTGCGGCCCAGAGGGCGTTGGGGAGGGGGCGCTGTTCCCCGGACAGTGGAATAATCATCCAGTCTTAGCTGCATTAAGACATTGCTGGCTGTCCGGTCCCCTCATCTCCCCGGGTTGGCCTTTCCAGATCTGAACACGCTGGCTTAGCTTCTCCTCTTCCCTTCTTAACCGAGTTGTAGTCACTGCGGCACTAAGGCATTTTGAAAGTCCCTCTCTACTCTTACGTCTGGTCTCTGCGGCGCGATTCTTCCTCTCTTCTCTCCTCCCCGTTCTGTATTTTGAAGGCCAGAATCAGCCATTCTCTACACTGAACCAGTTCTCCAGCTCTGATCTCATACACCAAGTATTTTTAATACTGGGCGTTTTCTAGAAATTTAAGTTACTTGGGGCATACCAGAAGTGTTGCCGGTCTCAAAGAGTTAAGCCACATATGCCCTCGTGGCTGTTTATGATTTTAAAAAGTTGATTTCTATTGTAAGTGAGATGTTTGGTTTTGAGAAAAATTTCAGAGTTTAAAAATTGCTTGTAAGAATTTAAGAAAATGTAAAAAAAAAAGCCACCTAAAAAGTACTTCGGTGAACTAAAGTGTAGTAAGTGCGTTTTCAAGTTTATTGAAGTCCTAATAACTTGTTCCATGCTGTCAAATGTAGACTTTGTTTTATTCTGGATAGTGTTAAATTATTCTGTATAGTGCTTTGTTTGGTAATGTTAAATTGCATTACTTGAGACAGTTTAAAAAGTAAAGGTATGAGGAAAAGTTTTGAATAGTAAAAGCTGTAGTTATGTCCTCAGAAGTTATTTGCCGTTGGTTGGGAGGGTTGGCACTGTTACCATTTTCCCTAGATATATGTACAGAGTGCTGAGGATGAGGAACACGAGTATTTATTCGCAAGCAGATTTTAAGATTAAAATCAGGTCCTAAGCCTGACCATTTTAGTTTACCTAATGTACAGCAGAAATTAAAACAGCGTTCTCCTAAGAATAACGAATCACCTTCGAATGCTTGTTAAAGAAAAATGAAAAAAAATTGAGCAGAGAAATGGATGGTTTGGATAGAGTTTAGAAAGGAACTGATATATTCAAAGTGACAAAATTATGGTCACAGCTTATTTTTACATGTACTCAGATAAAAATCTGGGAGAGAAGCTGCCTAACAACTGAAACCCAAGTTGTTTTAGAACTGATCCCGATTTCAGCCTGGTTTCAGAGCTAGTAGTTAAGTCAGCTAAAATACTAGCTTCTTGCCTCAGCTGTTTAATCCCCCCCACACAGGGTTTCTCTGTGTGTAGCTCCAGCTATTTAATTTAAAATGGAAATATATCTTAACTTTGAACAGGTATTAAAGATAACTGCTTATCGATTAGTGGATTTAATACCTGCAGAAACGACCAAAGGAAAGTATTCAGGGTTACATAAAGGAATGCATGTCAGTTTTTGTTTGTCTTAAAGTAACTAGTCTTACCCGGAATTTAGTGGACTTAATTGTCATCTACTAGACGAGCTTGTCAACTAAATGTTTTGCAACAGCTGCTGAGTCATCCTGGATATAGTAAAGGAGCTTCATGACATGGCATGTTTCGTACTAATGTTTGATAAGTGTCCAGGGCTTCTGGGCAAATGAAACCTTTGGTTGTGTAGTAGGTTAGAATAAGGAATAAGCAGGCTTGGCACTATTAGTGGACAAAGGACAGCAGATGACAGGTCAAATAGCTAGTGCCGTCAGTCACGGAGTACCTGTTGACTTCTAATTTCCTGTTTTAACTTTTGGTTTAGCTCTGATGGGTAATGTCTAGATTTTTTTCTACTTTTAGCTTAAAAAATGCCACCTTGCTTGAAGTTGTGGTCCTAGGAAGTTACTGTCTTGCTCAACCAGATAAGGTGGAGTAACTTAAAAGTAGAAGTAACTGGGTGTAGTAGCACACACCTGTAATCCTCTCTGCTAAGAATCTGAGGCCAGGGGTTTTTGTTTTGTTTTGTTTTGAAGTTTAAAGCTAGCATGAGCTTCTTAGTGACTCCAGGCTAGACTGCACTGTTGAGTGAGGGTGTCTTAAGAATTGTAGAAGCAAATAAGCCATGCAAGATGGTTATTTTCACTTGCCTCTTCATCTCTCCTGTTACCAACCCACTTTAGCTTTTTTGAGGTAGGGTAGCCCAGACTGGCCTTAAACCTGAGCTCTTCCTACTTAAGTCTTCTGAGACTTATTTTTCTGGTTGGGAGTTCTGTTCACTAAAGGCAATGTGCTTAGATCATATGGTCTGTTCAGTCTCCTTTCCCGTTTCCATTGTGTGTAGCTGGCTGCTTTTTCTAGTGGGTATCACAGAACACTTAAGTTCATGAGCAGAATTTACTCTGGAAGAACCTGTTGCCACCTCCTGGTGAGATAGACCTATTTGTTTTGCCTCTCCCTTCCTTTTTTGGTGGTAGGTTTTCTGGCCTGGAGTTAAGGGAATCTACTTTCCACCCTTAAAGACAATGACTGATACCCTTCCTAGCTGATTTCAGTAACCATGTCCAACTGTTAAAACAGGTAGGGAAAGGGAGGAATTTGAATTCCCCCCTATCAATAGTTTATTTTTTTAAATATATTTTATATGCATTGGTGTGAAGGTGTCAGAGCCCCTGGAACTGGAGTAACAGATAGTTGCAAGCTGCCATGTGGGCGCTGAGAATGAACCTAGGTCCTCTAGAAGAGCAGCCAGTGCTCTGAACCACTGACGAATCTCCAGACCCTATCAATAGTTTATATCAAGGGTTGGTAAATCTTTTTTATAAAGAAAACGATTTTGAGGCTCTGTGATTGCCAGTTCTTTTTATTATGGCTTTTTGGCAAATGCAAAAACCATTTTTACCTCTTTTTTTTGTTGTTGTTGTTTTTTGTTTTACAAGACAGGGTTTCTCTGTATTGTTTTGGAGGCTGTCGGTCCAGCCCGGCCTCGAACTCACAGAGATCCGCCTGCCTCTGCCTCCCGAGTGCTGGGATTAAAGGCGTGCGCCACCAAAGCCCGGCTCTCAGCTTTGAAAAATTAGTATTTCTCAGTATTTTATTATTTCCAGATGTTATTAAATAATTCTATTTTCTATATTCCAGATGCCTAGTGCTTTTGATAGATATAAAATAGGAAAAAAATAGTTAGAAAAACATGGAATCGGATACGTTTGAATTTGATGAGTTCTGCCCTGAATTGAATGATGAAAAATTCTGCTTAATTTTGTAAATTAATCTGTAAATTGATGATTGCCAAAAAAATTAAATGATGTAAACACATTTCAAGTGGTATAGTTAGAAATCACTTGAAGTTGTGGTTAAATAGAGTCTTGAAATTTTAAGTGCTCTATGCATTTTGCTGACTTTTATAATTGCAATTTTTTTCCTCCCTTTGGTTGCCCAAGTCTTTTCCAGAGTCATACTAAACTTAAGATCTTGTTTATAGAGTGATAAAGTCAGACTTTATCAGTAAAGTGAGTTATTGATGGATTCCTCTCCTTCCCCATCTTTTTAAACAGTTGAATGTGGTCACCCACTTAATCGAGGAAGGACAGGCTATCAACCATTCTGTTTCTGTAAGGAAGGTAGATTCCCTTAGCTCTAAGCCAGAAAATCATATATATAGCACCAAAACACAAGTTTTGCAAAAGTCAAGCATTGTCAGAACTTCTTAAGTACTTAGTGTTTTTCTCAAGAAGTATCAGTCACTTGAGTATATAGGTAGAAAAGTCCTTAGTGTTTAGGAAATAAAAGCTAGGTTTTTGAATTTGTTTTGTTTTGTTTTCTTGTGGTGAGAG